CGCTAAACCGTGCATTCTTCCACTGAGCTGAAGCTGACGACAACTGCTTGTTTCTCCCGCATAGCTGCTATTGTCACTTTTATCTCATAGTTGACTGTATACGCGTGAGGTTGTGCACGTTACATTTTTCGTGTTTACATTAGATATTTGTTAACTTAAATAATTTGATTTACCCTTTGGTACCAAGCTAGGTCTGTTCTAACAATGGTGTGTTCAAGCAAGAAGCAAAAGACTTATCACTTTCATTCGGAATGAGAAACCGATTACTTCTTTACTCAGGTAATGATAATGCTACAGTGGAGTTGGGACTGATTGATTTTCAAGAGGATATATCTGTAGCTTCTTCAAGCTCTGAAAATATTTGGCCTCTTGTTCCTAAAGAAAAATAGCCAATTTTAGTCCAGGTTTGGCTCAAACGTGAAGGCAATATTGAGCTCTACATATCTGTGTGAAATTTCTTTTTCCAGTGTGAAATTAATTAAAAATAAGTACAGAAACAGATCCAATGATGAACATTTCTACAAATTTCTTCGAATGGAAGCCACTATCTGTACTCCCAACACTAAAAAATTTGTTAATAATAAAAAAAAAGGTGTTCCATCATTCTCATTAAAGTTAATAAGTCTGATTAAAAATAACTGTCATTACATTTGTTATTTAGTAGTAACTACACTTTAGTTTATTTCTTATATACACTTCAATTTCAGTTTCTTTTTGTTATATACAGTTTAATTAAAATAGATTTCATATCTACTAGAAATCTAAATTTAGAGACAAACAAATGTAAGATTTTTAACATTAGTAGTTCTTTTAGTTGGTAGTACACAGTAGGATTTAAAAATGGTACAGTAGCTCAGAGGCTTCATAATTTTGGCGACCACTGATATAAATGATGCTTTTGAGCCATAACTACTGAATACTGATTACAGTCAGAAACCGCATTCACAATAGTACAGACAGGAAATCCAACATGCGTCTATTGCGCATTACTTCGTCAATTACCAAATTTACATATATTTGGATTTAATTATGCGCAGATGTGCAATTTTGATTTCAGTCGTTTTTAATGTACATAGATAATTACAACACTGGGAATTGGTTGCAATATTAACTTGGCCAGCGTATTTTTTCAAATTATCCTTTAATCCAGTATACAAATACACTGAATAACTAAAATTCATTAAAATCGAAAACAAGTTTTTCTAATATTTGCGCAAAAGCTGGAAAGTAAGATAATAATAATTTATTTACTAAAGAATTATTGATTATATTATCTCCTAATATAAATTTAGTAGAATGTATCAAAATCAGTGAACCCAAAAGTTTCAAATTTAATTCCGAAAATTGTTTTTTAAGAAGAACTTGAATGTAAATCATTAAAAAAAGCTTTTTAAGGGGACTTGAATTTAAATCATGAAAAAGACTTTGTAAGGTATTTGAATTTAAATCATGAATAACAAAAATTAAAACTTTGAAAAAGAAAATTAATAAACAAAGTAATTATCGTCATTGATCGGAAATTAGTTGACTTTTCAAGGGGAACAAACCAACTCCCGTTCAATGAACAATAATTAATAAATGCGAAGGTGTTTCGTCTTTTACTCAAGTAAGAATGAAGATGCCAAACAGACAAATTTAGTAAGGCCAAAATTGTAGTTCCGTTAAGTGATTGGATTTTTAGAAAACATGAGACAAAGCCTAATTAGAGTACTAAATCAGAAGTCAAACAACAAAAAATCAGCGTTATATTTTCAAAATTTTCACAGGACTAGTTTCGATGGTTTTACCGAACCACCATCCTCAGCTGCAAAACCGCAAATGAAATTAGAGTATCAAAGAATTCATTCTGAATTTTACATTTTCGCTAAATATATTCTGTAAGAATTTTGAGTGAATAGCCAAATTATGTAGTAAAAATTACATACTTGAGTAAAATGTTCCCCGACACCCTCGCTTTTATGCATGTTCATTCAAGACTATGTTTATAAAAATAAGAAACAGTAGTAATCTTAACTAAAATTGTGAAATAAAACCCAAAGCAATTGAAATAAACTTGAGAAACATAATAAACTATGCTATCTTTGCAAAACAAATGAAATAAAAGTTAAAAAACTTAAATGTATATAAAAAGAAATAATGAAATGTACATGGAATATAAAAGGCCAGAATATGAATTAATTAACTTACGTTCTTTCTAGGTCATACTATCCGAAAATCCGTTATCAGAAGTGGGAATACTTTGAATTATTCCAGGCGGTGAATCTTTGAGAAGCTATTTTGGGTACGTGGGAGGGACGTGGGATGTGTGAGAGAGGTAGTTGTGGAGTTCTTATATGAGTGAAAAAGCGTCTGTCAAATTTTTAATATACTAAGTAGTGAATGGAAATTAATTAATTTATGGCTAATTGCCGTGGCGGAATGAAGAAGAAAAATAGTAATTTTCACTGCCGAGCTATTTGGCAGACTACAGAGTATGAAATAGGCTTACTTTTTCATTTTTTTTAGTAACAGCTAAGAAAAGACTGAAAACAATGATATTTTATATTACATACAATTATGTAATTACACTATGTACAAATCCTCCAACTGACAGTCATCCAACTTATACCGCCTTTTCAGGTTTAGGAACAAATTTTCATATCCTTATCAGTTAAATGATTTGTAGAGAGTATTTAACGCCTGCTCTTTTAAGACAATGGTTAATAAATCGATTAGGTATTAGATTATTTTTGAGAATTTTAATAAGGAGCATAATTTGTCGTTGTAGATCTATTGTAACTGTGCAAATATTTTTTATACGTTGTATTTGATTTAAGATTGTATCACTAATAACTTTTTTGGAGATGTTGGAATTCCAATTTATTAATTTGTTAATATTGAAATTGAAATCTCTTGTTTTGTCAAGCAATAAAATTTTTTTGTAATTGATTATTTAAAGATCAAGCTATTAGATGATATTTTGTGAAAGATTAGTTTTTTTAAGTGTAAGGCATTCTGGATAAATCTCGGAGTTTTCAATCTTATTAAAATTATTAAATGTAATAAGATCTCCTATATATCTGTAAGTGTGCTTGTAGTAATTTAATTCTTGCAGTTGTAAATTTTGATAAATAAAAAGAGATTACAGACAAAATTACTTGATTGTGCGCCCATTGGAAGTCCTCTGACTTGCTTAAGAGGTTGATTTTGAAATTTAATGTAGATGTGAAAAATGGTGCATTTTAGGTAGGTTTTTCCATTTACTAAGATTCATAATCGTGAGCATAGCATTGAAGAGTTTAGGCAGATCTCGTAGACTAGTATAGATTTCTAAAGGAAGTGAGAAATATAAATTTTCAAAGTCATAGCAGTTATTGTTTTGTATGTCGATTGTCTGGATGGCATTAATGGCAGGAATGTTATTTTGGATCATACAACAATATTTATGATTAGTGTTACAATCGTTGAAAATAATTTTACAAATTTTTTTAAAGATGAAGTGCAAAATAATAGTCTACATTTTTCTTGTAGTTATAAGTTCCATTTTCTATGAATCTGAAACATAACTTGTCTTATGTATCACTTAAAATCCAATTTCTTTTAAATTCTATTAATTTCACAACGTGTGCATATTTTATTATGAACAATCTAAAAACTAACATATGCCGCGTAGTTAGTATTCATGCAATTTTGAAATGACTTAGGAACTCTGCTGTCTTGATATACAAAATCGTGATTACGAATTTCTGTTTCATGTCGAAATAAGTCAATGATTCCCAACTAAGCAACTTTTAAATTGTTGATAATTCTACAACTATTGCATGCGGATTAATTAAAGGCATAAAAACCTTAATAGGAAGATAAGAACAACATAAATAAATTATTTTTAAAGCAAATAATGCTCAGGTTTCCAACATATAAGAATAAAAAAAAAATTACCTCACTGAGCCGAGCAACAGAGTGGGTATATACAGATATATATATTTATATACTTTGGTGCGGCAGATTGGAACCAAAAGGGGTGGTGTACAACTACATATTATAGCAGTTTTATACACAAAATTTGAACGTTCTGCGGCTACTCGCTTTTGAGTTATGCGAGATACATACATACGTACGTACGTACAGAGGCCACGAAAAACTCTCGGCGGAATCCATTTTAATTCAGTTTTATAATTCGTTTGGGAAAAATATGTTTTATCCTTACGTACATATGTCAAGCAAAAACATTGTTAGATTGCATTCGGTAGCTGTCAAAATGGATATTTTCTGGTACCGGAATTTTTCCTGATTACAATACTTCCTTTACTTCGTACAAGGAATTAAAAATAACCCTTCGAATTACAATTGGCATTATTTAACAGATTATCAAATGGTATAAAATAAATGAGCAGGAGAAGACTGGCTGTCTGAACTATTTAATGTTCATAATGAATTTTGTTGTTTAATTAATTTATTTAAGAAATTTGTTATTTTATTACTTCTAAAATTCTACAGCACGTGACAAATAATATGTTATTCATAAACATAATATGTTCAAGTTTATTTAATCAAAAAATAGATCTCATTGATATTAAAAATTATATAAGTAGGCTAACTTAGTAGGTAAACTTAGGTATATAAATTCTTTATGTATGATACTCGAATTATTTTAGAAAAAATATTTTTATTGTCTTCATAGCTAAAAAAATTATTACAGCTGTTATCTCTAACTTGCAGGTAAGGCTAAAAAAGGGTGTCAATGTGCCAATAAAAATTATTACTCTTTCAACGGTTATTTATTTAACGACGTAAATCCACATTATATTTATAAAAGCAAAGCTATCTTCTGAAACTAAGACTAATGTTATTAATGATACAAGCCATAGTTAAACGTCACGTGAATCGAGATATATGAGCTAATGGTAAAACTTAAGTATATAAATTCTTCATGTATTTATAGAAGTGCTGTCATAAACCTTAATATCATTGGTTGAAACATAGATGCATTGAATCTAATGGTAATTAATGAATCATTACAGGCTTTTACGGTTTTGGAAGAGTTGCTGTCAAAGAATAGTATCTGTATAGCTGTCAAAGAAAGGCTTACAAAGGATTCCGGAGTTGCAGGAGATTCCAATTATGATAACATCGTTAGAAGACTGATGGAAAAACCCAGTGCAAGAGGTAAGTAACAGAAGTGTTCTTATCCGGGATTAGTTAGGAGGCTCATTAACTGATCTGTAGATCTTATTTGAGTAAACAACTTCAAGGTGAAGTTTTTTAAGGAAGAAGAATGATGAAAGGAGAAAAGATAGTTTTGAAAAGCCAAGTAACAGCTTTATGCCGCCTGTTTCCTCTTAATATATTATTTTAATTTTAATAGTGCAAAAATACAAAATTAGAGATGAAGATAATTAGGTTTTTTTTAGTAAATATTGCCTGACGCAGACGTAATTTCAAAACTATACTGGCAGAGACAAATGAGAGAATTTCTTTTGCATTTCTTGTAAATTTGCTGTATTGCTTAATAAAGGGAAATACACTTAAAACATACCGTTTAATGAAATACATGAAAGATGCTTCATAGCAAATTACATATACACTGATTAAATATGTCTAATAATTAAACAGATGATTTTTATTAAAACAGTCATTATGTAAATGGATAAAATCCGTGTTACATGAAATATTGTAAAATGCAGGTATATGAGAACTTTAGCTTTTGCAAAAGTAAGTTCAAGCATTTAATTTCTTAGAATCAATATTTCTTAGTTTTTCGCAGATATTTATAGTTATAAGGTATTTCGAAGCAGGAGAAGTGAAAAATATCTTATGCGCTCGTCTGGACTCGAACTCTGCACCTTCCGGACTTGCTTTTCAATTACACGATGAAGCCACGAGGTAGCGACGGAGAAAATGGTTTACCTCTTAACTTGAAATATATGCAGGATAAGTATATGTGTGAAGACAAATAACGAAACCGTAAGTGTTGCATTAAAGAAATACTTCACAAAAAATAATATGTCTAAATACCGTGCAGTTTAGAGAAAATTATTTTTGATAAAACTGAGTTTGAGCAGAAAAAAGTTTCTTTTTTTTTTTTTTTTTTTTTTTTTTTTTTAGATTAAATTGCATAAATTTATGTAATTAGTCTTTGAACAGTAGAACAATACAAATGACTATATCGATGTTAAAAGTTGATCGTGAAATTTTAGTAGGGGAAAATTATCTCACGTTTTGGTTACATATGTTGTAAGTTTCCGCTTTTTTGGGGCGGCAGTTATATCACCGACGATATCTTGTTTATTTTTTAAATATGTTTTCTTAATGGATATTCCGAAAAAGAATTAGTATGAAATAAAACCTTAGTTATTAGAATGCTATAGGAAAGTATTTTGAACCTGCAAAACATGAGTATTTGAGTCATTTAAAACTTGCTTTGTTGTAATTAGAAGCATAAATATTTACACCCAACGTTACAACATTGTTGTACTTAGAGACATATCGAGACTGACCATTAAATATTAATTTACGTGTAATAATTTAGAAAGCGAAGCAGAGTATTTACTGATTCTAAAACTGTACCACAAACTACAGAAATTCCTTTCTATAAACATGTGTACTTTTTGGAACTGAAGTTAAGAGTCAGTATTTGAGACTATCAGTGCCTCTTTAGCTCGGTCAAAGAAAAATATAAACTTTATAGGAACGTGATAAGAAACTTTCACTACCCAAAAAGATCCGAAACAAGCACTGAAATCAAGGAAAAACTGTCCAGAAACGCGATCTAAAGCAAATATTTTGAAAGTTTACTCCAAAGTTTTAAAGATTCTGCGATATTATAAATTCTTTCGCTAAAAAGAGAGTTATATCAGCAAATTACTTAACATGATTTGCAGAAATTCAATCTGTATAAATTAGCTTTTTTTAAAAAAATTACAATTTCTTGGTCATTACAGCAAATGTCGGTAGTAATTTGCTTCTTCTGTGCATATCGTTTGCTGAATATTCAAATCGAATAATATATAAATTGATGAGAGAGGAAATAAAGGGAAGCATATTTTATTCAGGATAATATCCATTAATTATTATTTTACATGCAGTTACTGAAATTTGCCATAGGAATTGTACTAATTAAAAGAAAATTATTTATATTGAGACTGTGTAATTTAAAAGCGGATTTATACTTCCGTAGCATTATTCTGTTAAACAATTCTTGGAGAAGAATGGAACAAAATGGGATATTCTAAGATTAAAAAAATTAATTAAATCCATACCATTGTTCATGAAAATTGTAATTTTAACTAAAAATTACCTAACCAAGTATTGGATGTCGCATTGTTTTCATGTTATAAAAATATAAACCATTGTTTATAGTGCCTGAATGCTTATGGAATTTCATCTTTAGAGCTTTTGGAATCAACTATTTTTTACGCAAAAATTCGAAAACAAGCAAGTTTTTTAAAAGGTGATCAATTATGTACGTGAAAGGAAGGTAGTTTTTCGAACAATTCATTTCGCCAGTGTTTATTTAGTAACTGATACTTGCAAATGAAACTGAAAAACACAAGTGCCCGAAAACAAATGTAAGCTACTGTCTAAATCATTTCCGGCTTTAGAATCTTGCCAGATGCAGATTTAAAATATGCGCAGTAACTTGTTCAGCCAGCTTAAAGAAGTTTATTTTGTGCTGTGAGTGTTAGACTACGTTACCTACAGTTGAATTTAACTTGATTTTATGTTAATGTAAATACTCGCAAGTCGTGGAGTTTCGTCTATGGCAGCACAACCTGTGTCTTTCTGTTCATTCAGGACTTAAATAAAAACTGTTATTTTAACATTCTTTATACTGTGATTTATTTGAGACTAAACGACACACAACTTTTAAACACATTGTTATAAATAAAATGCATACGTATTTGAATGTGATATAAGGCTGCTGAAGTTTTTTTTTTTTTTTTTTTTTTTTTTGTTCCGTATCACTGTGGATTTATGCACTTTTTAAATTCCTTTTACGTGATTGTGAATTTGTGTACACTTTACTTTGCATTATGATAAATATCTTTATAATTTTGTCTGCTTATATATATAATCATCTTATTCGGTTTTTGCTTTTAAATTTAATGCTAGTGTTGTGTAGGGTAAAATGTAGGTGCAATAATTAAGCACTAAAATTAATTAAAGCAATATTTAATCTTTCTTTTCTTATGGACCATTTGACAGTGAACTACAAATACAACTATAATTAATTTAATTCGCAGGATTCAACGCTAAAAATATTTTAACGGCCAAATGTTCATTTAATATCTTATTGATGATTGTCATATTAAGTTCAAAAATGCCTCAATTTCACGGCAAGTCACATGACGATCTTGCTTTATCAGTTCCCGCACAGTATCGACATTTTCTGGCACAAAACCCGATTTTGGACGACCTTGCTGTAGGATGGTGCTTTATCGCTGTATAAAGAATTAATTATATTGAAGCATTCTTGCTTTGATAATCCACGCCGAAAGTTATGAAAACTAATCACACAAAAATGTTCACAAGTCGATTGTTAAAAAATCAGACTTATGACTCGTCAGCGGTCGCCTAGCCACACTAGCTATTGCCAAGGCTAGAAATATAAATAGGCACCTTCGTATAATCTCATTTCATGACTTAGAACCAGAGATCGACATTCTATGAGTCCAGAACAGTATCATTACTTTTCGGCAACAGGAACACACGCCGAGAATATCGAACAGATAGTCGTATTTTCTTCTTAGAAGATTTACATACTTAATCATTCAATATAGCTGATCGTTTTCCACGAGGCCAAGACTTGTAAGTTATCGTTTATCTCATATAAGCTCGAGAGTCATCGCATTACTCTGCTTTCTCTTCTCCGTTATCACACTTTTCTATTAGTTATCACGAATAAAATGTTCTTTCTCTATCTCAGGAATAATTTGCACATCTTTCCATAATTATCCCCTGCAATTTCTTCTTCATTTTCTCTAACTCATCCGACCCAAAGCAAGTCCAAATCTCCAAAAACGAACAAACGCTTGTTTTTGACAAAATCCTTATTATTGTTTTTTTTCCTCTTGTTTCTTCATCTTCGCTAATGCTAGTCAAACATTTCGCTGTTTCAAATTTAAAATAAAGAGAACAGAAAGCCTCTTTTCCGAATAAAACTTCCGTATATAACGCCAGACCTAATTATTAATTAAACCGCACTTTCCGACTCAAAAATGCCTCCCTTGAAGTTATTGGTTCATCGCATACAGCCTTTACAAATCAATTCAACGGACGTAGTAATTAAAGTTAGTAATTAAATATTTCTTATAGCGCCTCAAGAAAGACGAGTAGGCTATTGTCCTCTTCTCAGTTCGCCGTGGGAAATTCATATCGCACCCCAAGAAAACGTCTGTTATGAAAATAATACCTTTTTCTACTCTTCTGTTTTTGCATCATAGTTCAAGGAACATGTAAACAATAAGTAGCGCCAATGTTCCAAGGTCAATTCTTTTTAAACACAGCCGCCGCGTCCATTTACCTCTTACAACGAAAGGCTTTCCGATTATTTGCAAGCATAACAATCTTTCTCACAACTCAGTTCCGTTGCTAACTTTTGCAACTGGCTTCTCGTTAAGGGAAGGAAAAGCGTTTTCTCTACCTGCAAACAGACACTGAATGCGAAAAGAATCCCTTATTCCCTGTCAAGTTTCACGACAATTAGATATAATCTTGAAGCCAGAAGTCTCAGCAGGAATACGAAGGAAATACCAATCGAGGTTCACAAAAAACTGAATAAACCGCTTCATAATATGTAGGTTACAAAGCTATGTTGCATTTAAAGTAATACATTTCATTCGCGTGAGTCACTGATGAAGCTAGAAATGGGCATCTAATATCTGCCAAGTAATCTCTAGGAACAACAACCTTATTGTTATACAATCTTAATTCTTATTTTATGCAATATTTTTTTATTCTAACAAAAAGTCCAATAAGTGACTTTAACACCATTTTTATTGCCTGCACGAGCCATTCACCTTTAGTGTTTTTTTTATATTTCTTTTTCCTTTCAGCAGCCTTAACTTCTCATTAGTTCAACAACTCTACTTTCACTGGCCCGAAAATTTCCATTATTTTGTCTAATAGCAGTTTAACTAGCCACCCCGCAGGAGTTCACAATGATA